AATTCTTGACATCAGTAAATCAATCATGACTCACATTAAGCATCTCCAATCCAAAGTTAAATCTAGAATCGTCTTCCTATTTCGCAACAAAGCCTCCTTCACTCATGCTGCCAAACATGCCCTCGTAAAACGGACTATCCTACCGATCCTTGACTTCGGCGATGTCATTTACAAAATAGCCTCCGACACTCTACTCGGCAAATTGGATGTAGTCTAATCACAGTGCCATCTGTTTTGTCTCCAAAGCCCCATATACTACCCACCATTGTGACCTGTACGCTCTCGTTGGCTGGCCCTCACTACATATTCGTCGCCAAACCCACTGGCTCCAGGTCATCTATAAATAACTTCTAGGCAAATCCCCGCCTTATCTTAGCTCACTGGTCACCATAGCAACACCCACCCGTAGTCTGCGCTCCAGCAGGTATATCTCACATGGTCATCCCCAAAGCCAACACCTCCTTTGGCCACCATTCCTTCCAGTTCTCTGCTGCCAATGACTGGAATGAACTGCAAAAATCTCTGAAGCTGGAGACTCTTATCTCCCTCACTAACTTTAAGCATCAGTTGTCAGAGCAGCTTACCGATCACTGCACCTGTACACAGCCCATCTGAAATTAGCCCACCCAACTACCTCATCCACATATTGTTATTTATTTTGCTATTTTGCACCCCAGTATCTCTATTTGCACATCATCTTCTGCACATCTATCTCTCCAGTGTTAATACTAAATTGTAATTATTTTGCACTATAGCCTATTTATTGCCTTACCTCCATAACTTGCTACATTTGCACACACTGTATATATATTTTCTGTTGTATTTTTGACTTTATGTTTTGTTTACCCCATATGTAACTCTGTGTTTGTTGTTTTTATCGCACTGCTTTGCTTTATCTTGGCCAGGTCGCAGTTTTAAATGAGAACTTGTTCTCAACTGGCTTACCTGGTTAAATAAAGGTCAAATAAAAATAAAATAAATGACGTTCCAATTCTCGTGACCATCTCGACCACAAGAAATTAAGAGCTCACACTCGCATCATAATGGTGCGCGATCTTACAAACTCGGTCAAAAGTATCGCATTTTTAGTCAATGAAATACAGTAATCAATTTCATATTTAGTTTTTGGATGCAGACGCTCTTACAGTTTGTTCTGACATATCACCAAGGTCGGTGTGTACAGTAACTGGATCAGCTATCCTATCGGTTTTTATTTAGTTTTCTCTTGAGTTCTGGACGCCAGTGATTCTGCGGGCAACTCAATGTTTTTTTATTTATTTATTTTTTATTCGGTAACAGTTGAACTGTGAAGGTGGAGTGTAAGTTTATAGACGCCCTTGGCTCTCATTGGTCTTTTGGAAAGGGAATGTGCATTCTTGAACATTCTATCTGAATTACTCTCCTCACTCCTCAGGAATATTTTACTGGAAGCTAAGTCTCTCTTCGTTTTATACACATAGTATTAATGTAACGAAGTAGGCTCCTGCCCATCTGGTAGGCTCCTACCCATCTGGTAGGCTCCTGCCCATCTGGTAGGCTCCTGCCCATCTGGTAGGCTCCTACCCATCTGGTAGGCTACTACCCATCTGGTAGGCTACTGCCCATCTGGTAGGCTACTGCCCATCTGGTAGGCTACTGCCCATCTATTAGGCTCCTGCCCATCTGGTAGGCTCCTGCCCATCTGGTAGGCTACTGCCCATCTGGTAGGCTACTGCCCATCTATTAGGCTCCTGCCCATCTGGTAGGCTACTGCCCATCTGGTAGGCTCCTGCCCATCTGGTAGGCTCCTGCCCATCTGGTAGGCTACTACCCATCTGGTAGGCTACTGCCCATCTGGTAGGCTACTGCCCATCTGGTAGGCTCCTACCCATCTGGTAGGCTCCTACCCATCTGGTAGGCTACTGTAACTGTCATAGCCTCCGTTTAATTATATCACTCACAGACTTATTAGAATATCAGAATCACCGTTATTCGCCAAGTAGATTTACACACACACAGAATTGTACTTGGTGCCCTGCTAGCAATAGACGGCAATATAGACAACATGGTATTGGCACTGACCCCGTCTATATGGTAGCTTCCTCTCTTATTTCGTGTGTTTTCTTGATTATATATTGTGTTATTAGTTATACTATTTTGATGTTGATTACTGCACTGGGTAGAGCTCGCAAGTTCTGCATTTCACTGTACTTGTGCATGTGACAAAATTTGAAATGTATACAGAACATATCTACAGAAATGTTGTTTTTCCTGGTCTATTAATTCTATATAATTGGTATGCTACTTGGCTATAGGTCCATGTTGTAATTTAACTAAACTAATGCTTATGCTTCTTTTAAATTGTTCAGTTTTAAAGTATTACAGATTTTTTTTCTATTCAGCCATGTCCTCTTCTACCTGAAATCCCAACCATGGCCGAATGGACAGAATGCATGAACTTTGATCTCCCTTGCCCGAGAAACTAGTCAGGTAGGGTAGGTTGCATTTGCCTCCCAATTTTTAGACAAGTTTATTAGTGCTATTTTCATACATTGGTTGATGAAGTCAAGTTTGTATTGTACATCCATTGGTAACACTGCATAGTTTACACTGTGTCTATTTGATTCAGCGTTCTGCCCATTGAATACTTGCCTAACCACTCATTGAATACTTGCCTAACCACTCATTGAATACTTGCCTAACCACTCATTGAATACCTGCCTAACCACTCATTGAGGACTTGTCTAACCACTCATTGAGGACTTGTCTAACCACTCATTGAATACTTGTCTAACCACTCATTGAATACCTGCCTAACCACTCATTGAATACTTGCCTAACCACTCATTGAATACTTGCCTAACCACTCATTGAATACCTGCCTAACCACTCATTGAATACTTGCCTAACCACTCATTGAATACTTGCCTAACCACTCATTGAATACTTGCCTAACCACTCATTGAATACTTGCCTAACCACTCATTGAATACTTGCCTAACCACTCATTGAGGACTTGCCTAACCACTCATTGAGGACTTGCCTAACCACTCATTGAATACTTGCCTAACCACTCATTGAATACTGCCTAACCACTCATTGAATACTTGCCTAACCACTCATTGAGGACTTGCCTAACCACTCATTGAGGACTTGCCTAACCACTCATTGAATACTTGCCTAACCACTCATTGAATACTTGCCTAACCACTCACTGAGGACTTGCCTAACCACTCATTGAATACTTGCCTAACCACTCATTGAATACTTGCCTAACCACTCATTGAATACTTGCCTAACCACTCATTGAATACTTGTCTAACCACTCATTGAATACTTGCCTAACCACTCATTGAATACTTGCCTAACCACTCATTGAATACTTGCCTAACCACTCATTGAGGACTTGCCTAACCACTCATTGAATACTTGCCTAACCACTCATTGAATACTTGTCTAACCACTCATTGAATACTTGTCTAACCACTCATTGAATACTTGTCTTTGTGTGGCACGTTTTATATCACTACTGTACATTGAGTCAGTACTTCTCTGATAGGTAGTACTCTCATAACAATATGGTTAAAGAATTCTAGACATTATTCAGTGTGGCCCATGCAGGATTCGAACCAACAACTCTGGCACTACCAGCATTGTACCATAACCAACTGAACCATTCATTTCAGGTTGTCCTGGATGCCTTTTAAGTCTAAGAAGTATGTCATGTTGAAGAGCTCTCCTGCTGACCAGGTGACAGAGACAGACAACAGAGTGGAGAAGATGCTGATATCGGCCATCCGGGACAAATACCCCACGCACAAGTAGGCCCAATGCTGCTGTCACATAGACATTCTATTATAGTCTCAGTTGTATTCTGCCTTTCCCAACACCCCAGATACACACACACACACACTGAGAGGCACAGGGTTTGCAGTGCCCATGGATGGAGAGCAATTGTTGGGGGGGGTCAGTGCTTTAGTCAAGGGCTCAACGGCAGGAGATGGTACATGGGATCCAGCTGCCAGTTCAATTTCATTCCCATTTTTGTGTCTCCTGGCCCAGGGCTTGAACCAGTGACCTGCCGTCGGCTGTTCTGCCTCTCTACCCTCTAGGATACTGGCACCCCTGTTGTTTATTGATACTCTTTTACTGCCCAAAATTTCCATATAGTATTAAGTATGCAGTATTTGTGTTATTGTCATACTTGATCAAGCTTAAAGCCTAGATTCAATCAGATCAAGCATTAACCGGCCATAGCCGACACCCGCATAGCTGATGTCGAAGGTGGAACTGCGTTGGAGCTGTCAAATCGGTGAGCAGCTGCTCTTGGTCATTGTCACGAACCCACACCCATCCCACTCAAAGCCACACCCCTCCCACTCAAAGCCACACCCATCCCACTCAAAGCCACACCCATCCCACTCAAAGCCACACCCCTCCCACTCAAAGCCACACCCCTCCCACTCAAAGCCACACCCCTCCCACTCAAAGCCACACCCCTCCCACTCAAAGCCACACCCCTCCCAAAGTTGTCCAATTACCAAGAGGGATGAGGGCAGCTTCTTGTCGTACAGGTGCTCAAGTTCAGAACGTCTGTCATTCAAAACCCATACCGCGTTGTGAAGCGCAGAGCCTGTGGTCTGGCGTTATGTAGAGCATGTTATTGTACAGACACCATGTTGCAATTTAGCCAGTTATAAGTGGCCAAATCTGCCATTTTCAACCCATATACGGGTACGAGTTTAAAGGGGCTACCAACAACATCTCAGTATATATATTACAGACACACGACATTAAACAAACAAACAAAAAAACTAAACATGCTGGTTCCGTAATAGGGACTCAGGTGTGTGCAGAAAAACATAACGGTGTACAACACTAATGTTACAATGTCAATTCGTGAGCCATTGCTTTTGGACTTGTCAACGTCAGGTTGCGTCCTGTGAAGATGTCCAGAAGTCTTCCATCTTGTATCCACTGAAGTGTTTCTCCGCTTCCTCCCATCAGGCACTGAGTTCGACATGACGTCAAGGAAGGTTATCGCAGCGAGCAGCTCGGCCGTAGCCAATCGGATCGCACAGGTGGTCCAGGCCTTCCCCTGTACCTGTGACGACGAGGATCATAAAGCCAAGTGCACCTGTGGGATGCCTAGCAACGGACATAGCAAGCACGGCACTGCATTCTCCTATTTTAGCCACTTGTCAATGAACCACCATTATTTTGGTGGGGCACATCTTTGTGAAATAAAGATCCAATTTCATTGAATATACAAATGTGTGGTTTCTCATGCTTAAGGTTATGCTGCCACCCACTGTTTGTGTATTCTACCTACATGTATTTTACCATTGACAGTGGTTGCCGATAGTCTTGAAATGGAGAGAGCATTGTCCCGTTATCCCATTGAAATATTGACTTTGCCATGTTATTAAACGTTGATCATTATTTCTCATGATCATGTGATTTGGTAAAGGGGTTATTTGGTCAAAAAACAGGGAGGACGAAGGCATATCATTCAAATGTCTTCATCGTTAAGGCATGTTCAATGGAACAAAGATTGAAAAACTCTGACGCGTTTCGGCATAGGCCTTTGTGGAAACTAGTGGGAATTTGTTATAAATATTGTATTGTCCAAAATTAAAGGGATATGGTTATGATAGTATAATTATGGGATAGAACTGTATGATTATGATAAATATAACTGCGTAGAAAATGCACTCCTACTCTCCATTGTGATAGTGAGATAGGGGTCAATGGGGTCGAACATACATCAGCTCAGCTGTGAATAGAATTGTGGTTTTCTGCCTCTGAACTGGTGACCTATAGCTTTACCTTACCCTTCTGTGATGTAGAGCTAATAGGTTGATTATGGATAATGTATGGTGATTATGGATAATGTATGGTGATTATGGATAATGGAGGGGGGTTATGGATAATGGAGGGGGATAATGGAGGGGGGTTATGGATAATGGATGAGGATTATGGATAATGGAGGGGGATTATGGATAATGGAGGGGGGTTATGGATAATATGAGGATATGGAGGGAGGATATGGATGAGGATTATGGATAATGGAGGGGGATTATGGATAATGGAGGGGGATTATGGATAATGGAGGGGGATTATGGATAATGGAGGGGGATTATGTATCACCTGTGGAACTCCATCCATTCAGAGATAGCGCCTAGTTCAGGGAAACTAAACCAAAGCATGGAATGATGTCATACCTTGTAGCCTACATAGACTGCTTACAGTTTGGATGAACTATCCCTTTAACTATTAAAATGGTGGAAGCCTTCAATGGCAATGTCCATGCTAAAAGGGGTTATATACATCTAGAGTATCTATCTCTATGGCATCAAATAACTGCTACAGTTCAGTAAAGTGTTTAGAAATGACTCCAGTTGAGGCTGTTTGTATGAATGGGTCGTTCATACACTGCTCCAAAAAATAAAGGGAACACTTAAACAACACAATGTAACTCCAAGTCAATCACACTTCTGTGAAATCAAACTGTCCACTTAGGAAGCAACACTGATTGACAATACATTTCACACGCTGTTGTGCAAATGGAATGGACAACAGGTGGAAATTATAGGCAATTAGCAAGACACCCCCCAATAAAGGACTGGTTTTGCAGGTGGTGACCACAGACCACTTCTCAGTTCCTATGCTTCCTGGCTGATGTTTTGGTCACTTTTGAATGCTGGCGGTGCTTTCACTCTAGTGGTTGCATGAGACGGAGTCTACAACCCACACAAGTGGCTCAGGTAGTGCAGCTCATCCAGGATGGCACATCAATGCGAGCTGTGGCAAGAAGGTTTGCTGTGTCTGTCAGCGTAGTGTCCAGAGCATGGAGGCGCTACCAGGAGACAGGCCAGTACATCAGGAGACGTGGAGGAGGCCGTAGGAGGGCAATAACCCAGCAGCAGGACCGCTACCTCCGCCTTTGTGCAAGGAGGAGCAGGAGGAGCACTGCCAGAGCCCTGCAAAATTACCTCCAGCAGGCCACAAATGTGCATGTGTCTGCTCAAACGGTCAGAAACAGACTCCATGAGGGTGGTATGAGGGCCCGACGTCCACAGGTGGGGGTTGTGCTTACAGCCCAACACCGTGCAGGACGTTTGGCATTTGCCAGAGAACACCAAGATTGGCAAATTCGCCACTGGCGCCCTGTGCTCTTCACAGATGAAAGCAGGTTCACACTGAGCACATGTGACAGACGTGACAGAGTCTGGAGACGCCGTGGAGAACGTTCTGCTGCCTGCAACATCCTCCAGCATGACCGGTTTGGCGGTGGGTCAGTCATGGTGTGGGGTGGTATTTCTTTGGGTGGGCCGCACAGCCCTCCATGTGCTCGCCAGAGGTAGCCTGACTGCCATTAGGTACCGAGATGAGATCCTCAGACCCCTTGTGAGACCATATGCTGGTGCGGTTGGCCCTGGGTTCCTCCTAATGCAAGACAATGCTAGACCTCATGTGGCTGGAGTGTGTCAGCAGTTCCTGCAAGAGGAAGGCATTGATGCTATGGACTGGCCCGCCCGTTCCCCAGACCTGAATCCAATTGAGCACATCCACCAACGCCACGTTGCACCACAGACTGTCCAGGAGTTGGCGGGTGTTTTAGTCCAGGACTGGGAGGAGATCCCTCAGGAGACCATCCGCCACCTCATCAGGAGCATGCCCAGGCGTTGTAGGGAGGTCATACGGGCACGTGGAGGCCACACACACTGCTGAGCCTCATTTTGACTTGTTTTAATTACATCAAAGTTGGATCAGCCTGTAGTGTGGTTTTCCACTTTAATTTTGAGGGTGACTCCAAATCCAATGGGTTGATAAATTTGATTTCCATTGATAATTTTTGTGTGATTTTGTTGTCAGCACATTCAACTATGTAAAGAAAAAGTATTTAATAAGATTATTTCATTCATTCAGATCTAGGATGTGTTATTTTAGTGTTCCCTTTATTTTTTTGAGCAGTGTATATATCAACCTGACTGAGGATTGTCTGTAAAATACACTGAACAAGCGGTTTGTTGATGTTAAAGTTGTGAACTTGAGTGCCCCAGTATGGGCAGGCATATGATACGGACAATGAATACAATTGCATTTTATCGGTGGTAATTTGAATGCACAGAGATACGGTGACGAGATCCTTTAGGGACATTGTCGTGCCATTCATCCGCCGCCATTACCTCATGTTTCAACATGATAATGCACGGCCCCACGTCGCAAGGATCTATGTCGCAAGGATCTGTTCACAATTCCTGGAAGCTGAAAATGTCCCAGTTCTTCCACGGCCTGCATACTCACCAGACATGTCACTCTTTGAGCACATTTGTGATGCTCTGGATCATGTGTACGACAGTGTTCCAGTTCCGCCAATATCCAGCAACTTCCACAGCCATTGAAAGGAGGGGAAACATTCCAAACCACAATCAACAGCCTGATCACTCTTATTTTAAGTATTTTCATTAGCTAATTAACCGGTAAACCAGTTGAACAAGGTTTTCATTCCACCCGCTGGCAAAAAAAAAAAGGCATGGACAAAACAACAACCAGATGTGAAATATGTGGGACAAACAAACAATCAAAATACAAAAATACTATATAACTGTATCAAATTTAGCAAGTTATGGGGTTAGGCAATAAATAGGCTATAGTGCAAAATTACAATTGTTAACACTGGATGATAGAGGCAGAATGATGTGCAAATAGGATACTGGGTACAATGAGCAAATAAATAACAATGGGATGAGGTAGTTGGGTGGGCTAATTCAGATGGGCTGTGTACAGGTGCAGTGATCGGTAAGTGCTCTGACAACTGATGCTTAAAGTTAGTGAGGGAGATAAGAGTCTCCAGCTTCAGAGATTTTTGCAAGGACATACATCTTGCTGCATGAGGCAAATAGTGGTCACACCAGATACTGACTGGTTTTCTGATCCACGCCCCTACTTAAAAAAAAAAAAAGGTATCTGTGACCAACAGATGCATATCTGTATTCCCAGTCATGTGAAATCCATAGATTAGGGACTAATGAATTTATTTCAATTGACTGAATTCCCTATATGAACTGTAACTCAGTAAAGTCTTTGAAATTGTTGGATGTTGCGTTTGTAACACGTTTCACCGACAATGTTAATGGCGTGCACTGGCGTAACACTAGCCGATAAGCGGCAGCACATACCTGTCACTCAGCTTGTTGGGCGACATAGCCAAGCATCTGAAGAAGACGATTCTATGCGGAAGTAGTGGCTTATTGACTTTTCCCAGCTCAATCGACTCTCGGTGAGATTTTAGTCTCTTTTGCGACCATTCTTACGCTAGTTACAGTCTCTTCTTTCCTATTCGGTGCGTAGACTAGCTCGATACGTGTTGTGTGTTACATTTAAAGATGAATGGTTATAAATCCACGCAGATAGCTCTTGAACTGTTAGGCTAAACCATTTTCAGATCAGGATAAACCAGGCTTCAGAAAAGAGTTGCAATGCAAACAGTTTTATTATAGAATATCGCTATTTGATTTAACTAAATGATTATCCCATAATTGGTCTATGCGTGGTCGGTTTCAATGTACTTTAACATTCAGCCCATCAGTTTAGGTGCAGTCAGTCGTTTTTCCGGTAGCGATGCTATTTTTTACAAAATTCATGCACTCTTGGAAGATAGAAATTGCAGGAGGATTTGCCTCAGGTTTCATAAAGCTCTTATTCTAATGGATTTGACAGCATGTTCAACTCCATTGCTACAAGCACATACCGGACCCAGTATTGGGGTATCTAGTTTATATGCAAATTTCACCAACACGACCATAGTCAGCTTTTAAGGTGTTATTTTATCAATGTTTTATGTATTAAGTAAAACATGTTCACTGTCTGTTCCACAGCATCCTTTTAAGGGCATATTCCTTGGATCAAGGCACAATACCATGACTGAACTCTGGCAGAATGCCATGGACCATGCTGTGGCTCTGGCCAGGAAAGCAGGATCGGTGAGTGTGTGTGTGTCTTTCTGTCTGTCTGTCTGTCTGAGCGTGTGGTGGTGCTGCTTGTCTTGTGGTTTTCTTCACTGAACTTTTGGCTTCACACAGAAGTTTTCAGTATTCAACCCTGTATCTATCTGCTGCAGCTTGTAAGGGATGCCATACAGAACGACATGAAGGTTATGTTGAAGAGTTCTTCTGTGGACCTGGTGACCAAAACTGACCAAAAGGTGGAGCAACTCATTATAGACTCTGTGAAGGAGAAATTCCCCACACACAGGTACAATAACTTACTGTGGCTTTGCTTCTATGAAGACATATCCTGGAACACAGACATACAGACACACACACACACACTGGCACACTTCTAATAGCCTATGAAAAGGAGAAGGATTTTTACAGTTATATTAAAGAACCTCCTGATCAGTATCTGTTGCTACCAAGTGTTCAATCAGACATTATAAAGGTGATATTATACATGGTGTTTCTAAATGATGCAGATTTTATAAAGGTGCATGGTGTTTCTAAATGATGCAGACTATATCACAAATGACATAACTTCGGCGATGTCATTTACAAAATAGCCTCCGACACTCTACTCTGCAAATTGGATGTAGTCTAATCACAGTGCCATCCGTTTTGTCACCAAAGCCCCATATACTACCCACCATTGTGACCTGTACGCTCTCGTTGGCTGGCCCTCACTACATATTCGTCGCCAAACCCACTGGCTCCAGGTCATCTATAAATCACTTCTAGGCAAATCCCCGCCCTTATCTTAGCTAATTGGTCACCATAGCAACACCCACCCGCAGTCTGCGCTCCAGCAGGTATATCTCACTGGTCATCCCCAAAGCCAACACATCCTTTGGCCGCCATTCCTTCCAGTTCTCTGCTGCCAATGACTGGAACGAACTGCAAAAATCTCTGAAGCTGGAGACACTTATCTCCCTCACTAACTTTAAGCATCAGTTGTCAGAGCAGCTTACCGATCACTGCACCTGTACACAGCCCATCTGAAATTAGCCCACCCAACTACCTCATCCCCATATTGTTATTTATTTTGCTCATTTGCACCCCAGTATCTCTATTTGCACATCATCTTCTGCACATCTATCACTCCAGTGTTAATACTAAATTGTAATTATTTTGCACTATGGCCTATTTATTGCCTTACCTCCATAACTTATTACATTTGCAAACACTGTATATAGATTTTCTATTGTGTTATTGACTGTATATTTTGTTTACCCCATATGTAACTCTGTTTGTTGTTGTTTTTATCGCACTGCTTTGCTTTATCTTGGCCAGGTCGCAGTTGTAAATGAGAACTTGTTCTCAACTGGTTTACCTGGTTAAATAAAGGTGGAAATTTTTTTTTTGGGGGAGATAGTTAATGGAGATAGTTTAATAGGTAGGGTAACAGAGAGGTGTAATCTGGACATTTTGTTACAGAAATTTTAAATGAGCGTTTCAGATTGTCCCTCTCTGTTTCAGTCCGTTTCCTTCCGTTTAGTGCCTTAATGACTGTACACACAGAGAGCTGAAAACACTAGCGAAGCCGCCTACCAATCTCGCAACCTCCGGCTTTACATAGAAACCAATGGAGGCGACAGTGAGAGACGGCTTTACATAGAAACCAATGGAGGCGACTGCTCGAGCCGGCTTTACATAGAAACCAATGGAGGCGACTGCTCGAGCCGGCTTTACATAGAAACCAATGGAGGCGACTGCTCGAGCCGGCTTTACATAGAAACCAATGGAGGCGACTGCTAGAGACGGCTTTACATAGAAACCAATGGAGGCGACTGCTCGAGCCGGCTTTACATAGAAACCAATGGAGGCGACTGCTCGAGCCGGCTTTACATAGAAACCAATGGAGGCGACTGCTCGAGCCGGCTTTACATAGAAACCAATGGAGGCGACTGCTCGAGCCGGCTTTACATAGAAACCAATGGAGGCGACTGCTCGAGCCGGCTTTACATAGAAACCAATGGAGGCGACTGCTCGAGCCGGCTTTACATAGAAACCAATGGAGGCGACTGCTCGAGCCGGCTTTACATAGAAACCAATGGAGGCGACTGCTCGAGCCGGCTTTACATAGAAACCAATGGTGGTTGCGTTTTCTTTTCCTGTGTGTAAGCGGCTTTATGATCATGACCTTGTTCTCCTTGTGTTGCAGTTTCATAGGCGAGGAGTCGGTGGCTGCTGGAGAGCCCTGTGTTCTAACTGACAACCCAACCTGGATTGTTGATCCGGTAGACGGGACCACTAACTTTGTACACGGGTAAATTGTTGTTTATTTTCTCAGAATGTGGTAACCACTTTGTGTCGATAAAGATCTTGTCAAACACTTGATTTCCATTTACCAGCTTACTGTAGCATAGATTATCCGATGTAACCCTGTATTTCTAAAATCCATGGCTCCCACAGATATCCATTTGTTGCGGTGTCTATTGGCTTTGCCGTCAACAAAAAGGCAAGTTTTCCTATGAATCATTCAGGGTTTTTACTTAGCTCAGAGAACTCATGAGACGTTTCGTTCTTCATACTTCGTTTAAAATCATGACGTTTTTGCAACAGAATTATTGTTGACAACAGTGCTCTTGACAATTCAGGTCATTTAAAACCGAACTTTTTGTCCTAGCATTCTGTGTTTCATAAATTTGAAATTGTTTAATAGTCAACTGACCAGGAAGATCATCTATGTTTAATCCAGTATAATCTTGGAGATCAGTAATCTACATTTATCACAAGTCATTAAAGTGGCTGTACAAAATCTAAAATGTTACTGAATTTAGATTTCTCCTTGGTTTTTTGAATTGTGGCTTGATTGTGTCACCCTGACCTCCTTCACGGTGGATATGGGTAGTGAATCCCTGTTCAGATTTGCCCACTGCAACACACATTCTCTCTGTTTCCCTCAGCTGGAGTTTGGAGTGGTGTACAGTTGCATAGAAGACAAGATGTATACGGCCAGGACAGGGCAGGGAGCCTTCTGCAATGGACAGCCCCTTCATGTGTCGGACCAGAAAGGTGCGGTAGTTAGTTCAACCAGTTCATCTTCAGTGCTGTATCACACCAATATTACTCTCTCTCTCTCTGAATTCACCACTAATCATATTCTCCTTTACTATAGGTCAGTGTTCCCCCCAATCCCAACCAAGCTTTTATTTGGTCAGAAGCCGCATATTTACATTTCCGTACTCCATTTGTGCTGAGTTCAGATTTTTAAATTCTAGTCCTGCATTTAAACTAGTATTTCGTTTTTTGTTAACATAAGCATTACATTTCATAAGTATTACAATTCATAATCATTGCAATTCATAATCATTGCAATTCATTAGCATTACAATTCATTAGCATTACAATTCATAAGCATTACAATTCATAAGCATTTGCAACATCTTTAGTACTTAACACACATTTATAAGCCTTTATACATATACTCATTCAATTCTGACCTACTGCCCTCCTCACACTACCCTGCTAACCTTCCCTCCCTGTCTATCCAATAAACCTGAAATAAGAATGTCACTGAAGTGCTGAACTTTCTCATTGCAGAAATCACTCAGTCTATCATTGCTACTGAGTTTGGTTCCAACAGAGACACGGAGGTGGTTGACAAAATCTTCTCCAGCATGAGGAAGATCCTGTGTTTACCCATCCACGGGTAAGAATGCCCTGGCCCCGTTTAGAATGGCATCCACGGGTAAGAATGCCCTGGCCCCGTTTAGAATGGCATCCACGGGTAAGAATGCCCTGGCCCCGTTTAGAATGGCATCCACGGTTAAGAATGCCCATGGCCCCGTTTAGAATGGCATCCACGGGTAAGAATGCCCTGGCCCCGTTTAGAATGGCATCCCGGGTAAGAATGCCCTGGCCCCGTTTAGAATGGCATCCACGGTTAAGAATGCCCAGGCCCCGTTTAGAATGGCATCCACGGTTAAGAATGCCCAGGCCCCGTTTAGAATGGCATCCATGGTTAAGAATGCCCTGGCCCCGTTTAGAATGGCATCCATTGTTAAGAATGCCCAGGCCCCGTTTAGAATGGCATCCACGGGTAAGAATGCCCAGGCCCCGTTTAGAATGGCATCCACGGGTAAGAATGCCCTGGCCCCGTTTAGAATGGCATCCACGGGTAAGAATGCCTGGCCACGTTTAGAATGGCATCCACATTCCGAATGGCATACTTCCATACTACTTAGTAGGCATTGCGTGGAGACCAAGTATGTAATAGTTTGCTTGAAAGACTAGGATGGCATACTACATTAGCTGAGAAATGAGTATGGGACCACTGCATACTATTCAGGAAGTTGTTTTTCCACGTTTGGTATCCCAGAATGTATCCTATTGCTAGCGGAAACCTTCGTGCCATCAGATAAGACACTGCTCTGTGTGGGTAACTTGGTCACAATAACCCTAACTGGCGCCTGGAAAAGCCTTGTGCTAGCAAATGTCTTATCCAATAAGAAATGCTAGTTTCAGGTGTCCGTTATGGTAATGAACACAACCTCTCTCTCTTGTCTTATCTTGCCAGGATTCGAGGTGTGGGAACAGCGGCTACCAACATGTGTCTGGTGGCGTCGGGCTGCGTGGAGGCCTACTATGAGATAGGGATGCACTGCTGGGACATCGCTGCCGGGGCCGTTATAGTCACAGAGGCAGGCGGCGTCCTCATGGATGTAGATGGTACGTCACTGTATATCCCAGATAGCACACAGACCTCCGCCCCAACACAGGCACCATTGTATACGTGATACCTCGGGAAGACGCAGCGTAGACGTCAGTTTGGCGAGACGTCTTGCGGATGTGTTTTAGAATTGGCCTACTTTCTAAATTGTACAGATCTACACTGTTTTTCCATCGGCCAGGCGTCAACGTTCTGTTATGATGTCTCGGCAGCGACGTCTTCTCAAAATGCAAATCCGTACTACGTATTCCCAGCACATTTTGATACGTCGGTTTGCGTGTTGACTAGTATAATGTGGTCCTCTGTAGCTCAGCTGGTAGAGCACGGCGCTTGTAACGCCAAGGTAGTGGGTTCGATCCCCGGGACTACACATACACAAAAATGTATGCACGCATGACTGTAAGTCGCTTTGGATAAAAGCGTCTGCTAAATGGCATATTATTATTATTATTATTATTATATTAAAATGGTGGTCCTGTGTGGCGCTAACAACATCAAGGTTGTGGGTTCAATTCCCGCATGGGATGGAGCACTTAAATATACTAAAGACATATGCACTTACTGTACTGTGTGAAAGTATCTGCTGAGTGGCATTAATTACAGTGTGTATAGTACTATTATGTACAATAGCACTCCAGATCCAATCACAGATCAGCAATTAGTCCTCAATAACAATTGATTACCCAGATGCTGAGATTTGATCCGTTTGTAAAAAAAAATGAAAAGTATTTTTGTAATTCAGCAGTTGTTTTTCCATTAACAGTAGTTTTACTTTCATTATCAGTAGTTAATAAGAATAAGTTTCTTTACAGCTATAAAAATGACAACATGAATTGTTTTAATGTTCTAGGTGGACCGTTGGACCTCATGTCCAGAAGGGTGGTTGCTGCAAATAACAAGATGATCGCTGAAAGGATTGTCAAAGAGATTGACGCGTTTACCCCTCTGCGAGATGATGCACCTATAGAGACAAAAGATTGAACAAGGAAAATAGCAATGTTTTTTTGTCATATTCTTAGAAATAAAATGTGTTTTGTAAGCTTTATTTATTTTTCGAATGATAACTCTGCTCTTGAACAATTCTCGTAATTTAAAGCCAAACTTTTGGTCCTAGCATTCTGTGTTTCATAAATTTGAATTTGTTCATTTTTAAATATTATAATTGTTTAATGGTCTACTGATCAGGAAGATAATCTATGTAATCCTGGAGATCAGTAGTGTATATGCATCACCATTCATTAAAGTACTGTATATATATATATATATATATATATATATATATATAGCATAGTGAATTTATGAGTACAGAAATGGTCCCGAAATGTAAGTCGCTCTGGATAAGAGTGTCTGCTAAATGACGTTAATGGAAGTCAATTCAAGGTTTAATGCAGCTGGAAAAGGAGTGTGAAAGGTCCGGATTGAACTATGTACACTAAACGTTGCACCCTACTGGACTGCATTTTCATTTGAAATGTGCTGTTAAATTGAGTGGGTTTTTGTATCCACTTGCATAATATAGTTCTGTACTTACTTAAAATCATGTATGAGTCTTTATTATAAGGCTTTTAATATGTGTATTCTCCCTTACAGCCACGTTTATACCTGGTGCTAACATGTGTCCTCCTTTGTCCTGACTGTGTCCGCATTTGTAGACGGATGTAGATGATTTAAAATACACATTGTGATCAGATCTTCCTGCCCACCTCCGGAGGTAGTCAGGCACTCATTGTGTCTGGGTATCTTACCAGTGTAGATGGATCTGGACAGAGAAACCATTTAAATCATCGTAATCCCACCTTTTAAAATCATTGACAGGTGGCGCCATTGACTTATGACATCAATATGCGTCTTCAAATAAATAAGTGAATATTTTTTTTGAAAGAATATCTGCCAAATAATTAGCATACAGGGAGGGACCAGGAAATGTGGTCCCACTGCAGACACAGTGGACGGATGAAAGACACAATACCATCATAATGTGGACAAGTTCAGGACCAAGGACGCATATTAGCGCCAGGTGTAAACAGCTTGCTTAGTTATCTCTAGAGCAGCAGCTGGTAGCTCAGCTCCTCAAAGGCCAACGTGTTCTTATGTCCTCATCCCAGTCTGATGTAGACTGTTCATGGCCTTATTTCTGTATTTCCTAAGTACAGTTGAACAGTGTCGTCATGAGAGAGGGTTATTGTGTTTGTTTGCAACGGAAAACTACAAATTGTGTTTCTCATTGGACAAGACCAGGTAGTCCCGCCCCCAGTTTCACTTCATTTCAAAGAGTTTTCTCCCTACTGGACACAACCCTGGGTGGTATTCACTAGACAACCCTGGGTGGTATTCCCTAGACAACCCTGGGTGGTATTCACTAGACAACCCTGGGTGGTGTTTACTAGACACCAGGCAACCCTGGGTGGTGTTCACTAGACACCAGGCAACCCTGGGTGGTATTCACTAGACACCAGACCACACTGGGTGGTATTCACTAGATACCAGACAACCCTGGGTGGTATTCATTAGACACCAGACCACAATGGGTGGTATTCACTAGACACCAGACCACAATGGGTGGTATTCATTAGACACCAGACCACACTGGGTGGTATTCACTAGAGAACCCTGGGTGGTATTCACTAGACACCAGACAACCCTGGGTGGTATTCACTAGACACTAGACCACAATGGGTGGTATTCACTAGACAACCCTGGGTGGTATTCACTGGGCACCAGACAACCCTGGGTGGTATTCACAAAACACCACATCAACTTGGGTGGTATTCAATAGACAACCCTATGTGGTATTCACTAGACACCAGACAACCCTGGGTGGTATTCACTAGACACCAGACCACACTGGGTGGTATTCACTAGATACCAGACAACCCTGGCTGGTATTCACTAGACACCAGACCACACTGGGTGGTATTCACTAGATACCAGACAACCCTGGGTGGTATTCATTAGACACTAGACAACCCTGGGTGGTATTCATTAGACACTAGACAACCCTGGATGGTATTCACTAGACACCAGACCACAATGGGTGGTATTCATTAGACACCAGACCACACTGGGTGGTATTCACTAGAGAACCCTGGGTGGTATTCACTAGACACCAGACAACCCTGGGTGGTATTCACTAGACACCAGACCACAATGGGTGGTATTCACTAGACAACCCTGGGTGGTATTCACTGGGCACCAGACAACCCTGTGTGGGATTCACTAGACAGCCCTGGGTGTTTTTGACTTGCTTCCTCATGGCTCTAGGGGTAGGTTTCGTGGAGCCAGATGCACACTGGGATATTGTATGTGTTACCTGCTTGGACAACACATTATTTGCCTGTGTGGTTACTGTCATGTGGAACTGAAACAGTACTTCTTATTTTCCTTGTTGGGGAACCATATGGTTGAGACAGAAATATAATGTTAAGATTCTGCATCATTTAATGCCTGAGGCAGACACAGGACTTTCAGGCTGTGAAATGATGATCTGGTTCAGAAACAAACCCTAGTACAAGACAGCAATCTGCCCACAGGTCTTTGCTGAGCATGAGAACCTCTTTCAGCAAACCTTTTTAATCCACTTTATCGGTGACCTTACTGCAGGTGTCATGACTCATGACCACTACTGAATCCACTTTACCGGTGACCTTACTGCAGGTGTCATGACTCATGACCACTACTGAATCCACTTTACCGGTGACCTTACTGCAGGTGTCATGACTCATGACCACTACAAAAGTAATGACCTTACAACAGTAGTGCCACCGACAACACAACATATTTTATATATATATTTTTTAAATGATTTTCTTTTAGAATTTAGTACAAAACAAAAACACACACAAAAATAAATAAACACAGCTGCCAGACATATGACGTGAAGTTTTGCTTAAAAGAGACAAGAATAGAACTATATGACCGTTAGAACGATAAGCATTCCTAGTCAGTGTTCACAATCTGTCCAGAGACAGACCGCAAATGTTGAGAAATCTGCTGGAGGAGTTAGTCCTGAGAAAACAAATATTTTCTATGTTTATGGCGTTAAATCATTTCTGCGAGCCATCTATGGAAGCAAGAGTGGGTGGGTGACTTCCCATTCTGTGAGGATACTTTTTTTTTTAACAGCCACCGTTCCAGACATCAGTCTGTTGTTCCTCGTAGGACGATCTCAGAACAGACTGGGTAGCCAAAGAGAGCAAGTTATGGGTCAGGTACAATGGCCCTCTCATATACCTTTGAATACCAATCAAGGATGTTCACCCAAAAATTATGAAGTAGGGGGCAGAGCCCAAAAAAAATATGAGTTAATGAACCCTTCGAGACTTTACATTTGTCACACAGTGGGGACACCTGGGGGGTGGGGGGGGGGGGGGGGGGGGTAAACTCTATGTCATTTGGTTTTGGAGTAATGAAGTCTATGCATGACTTTGTATTGTATCAATTTGATATCTGGCATTGATGGAACAGGAGTGAATCGTAGACAGGGCTTCTCCCCATAGATCATCTGAGATCTCAATATTTAACTGTTTACCCCAGGTCTCCTTGAGATGACTAGTAGAGGCGTCTGTATAGTTGGAGAAAAGGAGACAAACTGTGAGAGGAGGTGTTTTGAGTTGGGAGGGCACTTTAGCAGATAATAAAATGAATGTTGTACAGGGAGGGTTTCAACATTTTGAATTTCCCCTTTGACATAGTGTCTGACTTGTAAATAGCAGAAGAAATGTGAGTGGAATAGTTCGAATTTGTTATTTTAATTGGAGAGATCTTAAATTGTGGCCAGTCCCTTCTCCCTCCACTCAACAAACAACTTATCAGACCGAGATGGAACAAAAATAATGATTAAAGCATATTGGGGTGTATACAGAGATATCAAGCACCTTATAAACATGCTTAATCTGGTTTAAAATTCTTAAAGAATTTCTCAAATCAAAGTTGTTGCCTGTCGTTTTGTTTTGGGCACTCTGCTTAGGAGAAAAGCAAGTCTGGAAGAGAGGAATTTGTTGCAGTCTTGACTTCCATATTTAGCCACAGGGGGGCAACCGTGTCCAATTTATCAGTTTAAACCCAGTTGCCAGTCAGGTTAATGCCCTGGCATTTGCAGCGCGGTAGTAATGTTTAAAGATGGGTAGGCCTGGGCCACCATGTTCCTTTGGCTTTTGCAAGTGGGCTTTACAAATACGATGGGGCTTTTGTAACCCCAGACAAATGGCATGATTGTCGAGTCCAATGTTTTGAAAAAATGAAGAGGTAAGAAAAATTTGAAGATTCTGGCAAAGATAAAGGAACCTGGGAAGAGAAACCATTTTTATGGCATTAATGCGCCCCGTCATAGAAAGAGGCAATATAGCTTCGCAACCAGCTCACTGTAGATGAGCTTGAAGAGGAGCTTTGGGTTTCTAGGGATTTTTTTGTCCCAGGTAAGTTAAGTGGTCAGGAGCAAAAACAAATAAAATAGAATTATTGTCGAATTGACTGTGTCCATAAGGTGTAGATAGTAAGTATAGGCTGGAAGTAGAGGCCTGGGCATTGTTGTTCACTAATTTACTCCAAGTAGGGAAAGGATGGTGGGGTTGAAAAGTAATAAAGGGGAGTATATATATAAAAAACATGGGGGATTGGAAGTGATGCAGACAATTACATTGATGGAAGTTACAATCTATCTACAATATTAAGCTGATCTTTATTTATATAAATTAATCAAATGAAAAGAAAAATGAAAAAAAAAGTTAAGTGGTCATGCACCGCTTTAAATGGTATCCTCTCTAGCTCACTTGCTGTAATATTGCCTGAGAGACACAGGAGATCACGTTTGCCCCAATCTATTCTATAGCCAGATAGTTTGCCAAATGAATTGATTAGGTGTAACAGGCTACGGACAGAAGCTGCTGGGTCCGAGAGGTATAGAAGCACATCGTCTGCGGCCTTCTATGTTTCGTACCTTAAGACCTTGGATATTAGGATGATCCCTTATTTGTATCTCCTAGGGGTCGAAGGGCGACAGCGAAGAGCAGAGGACTGAGTGGGCAACCCTGCTGGACAGATCTAGGTAGTTCAAAGGGACTGGATTTGTCGCTATTGGTCAGAATAGAGGATGTTGGGCAGGAATAGAGCATTTTGACCCAGGTGTTAAATGAGCTGCCAAATCCAAACCGACTGAGTGCTTGGAACATGTATGAATGTTCTATAAGATCAAACGCTTTCTGAGCATCTAGTGATATATAATAGCCTCCTTGGAGCCTTTCCCATGATTT